TGCATCAACTGTCATCAGCTTATAAGGTTAGGAGTACTTTACTGAATTAAAATGGCGGTGGCTACCTAACCTAACTGACGCCGTGTCGCATCTTTGTATTCTAGGACTCTAATCTAGACTTGTGACCAAAATCCGTTGGATTTTCAAATCCGTAAATGGTTTAATTAAAACATGGAAAATGCTGGCTAATGTTTCCTAACACTCAAATACTATACATCGGAGACTACGTAAGAATTGTATCCGCACTGTGTAATGCTTACCGACCACTTCGAGTTCAAGTAACATCACAGGTGATGAAATAATTGCTCAAAGAATATTCGCTTTGTCTAAAAAACCCAATAATCTTCAAAAGATTGTAGAAGATGAAAAGTGGTTCAGCTGAAAGACCACTATTTGAAGAGAAAATACAGGCAACATCCATTACAGATTTTCCGTGTTTGACATTCCAAGATCTTCACAGAATAACGATCAAGAGACGCGGTAATGACTTGGCGTCAAGTGTTTATGTCAAGTATAAGTCAACAAGCCATGCTGGGTCTCTTCACGCGAGCCGCCGCGTTGCGAACACCCGAGATTATGAGATCTCAATAACGGTCAAACCGATTAAGTTCCAAGTAGGCTCAATCGACAGTTTGGGTTCGATTTGTGTAATGAGTGTTTTTATGTTTTTTCTACGTGCCATACGAGCGGAGATATTGCAATGCAAAGTCCAAAATGTGGGAATTTAAGATTAAAAAACGTCATCATTATCATTGTTATTATTATCATTGTCGTCGCCCAGTTGCGGGATGGGGGAAGTGTTCTTTTACAATTTATGACGCAAGAGGCACTAGAGCACTAGGATTTCTAACCTTGCAGTTTCGATCGATTGATGTGATAATACAACAGATAAAACAGATCGGTGTACATTTAATGATTTTTTATTATAACGTAAATAAAAGTAAGAATCAATCGTATTAAAGAATCACTGAGCGCTCACTGATCTGTTTTTTTTTCTACTGAACGCATATATTTTTTCCAGTGACAAGTGAAGTTATTTATCAATAACATCAAAAAGTAAATATAGTACGCAAAAAAATTAGGGGAGCACTTTAAAAACTGCAAATTCTGTCAATTTTAAGAAACCATCTCGGCTTCTAGGAATCGTAGGACATTGTTCCTTAGTGCATTTTCAAAGGTAAGGCCTCTACTTTAAAATGGCCTAAATGAATTAAATTTTTCGTCCCATTAAACTGTTTTTTTCGTGAAAATCAAAAGCAGAGGGTGTTAGAGTCTTAAAAATATTATGACATTGCAGCCTTCCATGGACAAAGCAACAACGAGGCGAAAAATGTCACCGCAATAGTTTCGAAGCCGAGAAAATTCCCTTTAAAATGGCATAAAGAAAATTGTTCGAGCTTGCCTAGGAGCTGAGTTATCAGGTTCCAAAGAATAGTATACCCGATTTTTTGCAAGATTTTGATTAAGTACCGCCGACATTCGCGTTATCCGATGTGCACCACGAGGAGGTTGCTCGGTCGGAGTTTGCACATCATGGTGTGCGCGCGCGCGCGTGTGCGTGTGCGTGTGCGTGTGTGTGTGTGTGTGTGTGTGTGGGTTGTGAAATGGGGATGGTTAGATAGATGTATGTGTGCATATTATTCAATATACGGTATTCCCGCCCCTTCGGCGAATCACCTCAAGCAGTCTCTACCTCATATTGATGCATCTACTGATTCCATTTTGAGGGTTTTCCTGCCAAATCTCTTGGAGAATTCTTTCGAGTTCTGCGAGCGTCGTTGGCTGTCTCGGATAATCTCTCAACCGACGACTCATCAAGTCCCAGACGTGTTCAATAGGATTTAGGTCTGGGCTTATTGCTGTATGATTGAAAACCGTAATATCGTAATCCTGTAGAAACTGTCATTATCCAAGACAGCCAACGACGCTTGCAGAACTCGAAAGAATTCTCCAAAAGATTTGGCAGGAAATTCCTTAAAATGAAATCAGTAGATGCATCAATATCAGGAAGAGACTGTTTGAGGTGATTCGCCGAAGGGGCGGGAATACCGCATATTGAGTAGAATGCGCACATACAACTATCCAACCATCCACATTTCACAACCACCCATAACACGCACGTACGCACGCGCGCGCACACCATGAAGTGCAAACTCCGACCGAGCAACATCGAATAACGCGAATGTCGACGGTACTTAATCGAAATCTTGCAAAAAATCGGGTATACTTTGGAACCTGATAACTCAGCTCCTAGGCCAGCTAGAACAATTTTCTTCATGCCATTTTAAAAGGAATTTTCTCGGCTTCGAAACTAATGCGGTGACATTTTTTGCCTCGTTACTTTGTCCATGGAAGGCTGCAATGTCGTAATATTTTTAAGACTAACACCCTCTGCTTTTGGTTTTCACGAAAAAAACAGTTTAATGGGACGAAAAATTTAATTCACTTAGGCCATTTTAAAGTAGAGGCCTTATCCTTGAAAATGCGCTAAGAAACAATGTCCTGCGATTCCTAAAAGCCGAGATGGTTTCTTAAAATTGACAAAATTTGCAGTTTTTAAAGTGCTCCCCTAATTTTTTTGCGTAGTGTATATATATCTCGGATTAATGTTTGCGAAGAATTTTTTATTTGAGGAGAATTATCCCATCATATATTCTATTCTTATGATTTTTTTACTTACTGTCATAACAGAAATTGTAAACCATCTATTGGACGAAGATTACAGATAATTAAAGTATGTTAAAAAACATTTTTTATATATTGCATTATATCTATATGATATTAGTGTTATAATTAACTATATATATATTTATTTATACTGTTATAACTAATTAATTATTTTAGTAGATATTTATATAAGTATTACATAATACACTTCTCAACAAAATTAAAGCACCACTTATTCTACCCTCCAAAAATAGGCAAAATTCAAGAGAATGCAACTTCGTCAAAAATGATCGTATCGAGAT